CAAGAGGGTGGAAAACAACAACAATAAAAAGCATAGACCAAACAACAACAAAAAGCATAGACCAAACAACAACAACAAATAAACTACCAACAACAACAACAATAGCAACATCATTACACCCAAACTAATTGATTAAAAGAAAATTAGAATTGAATGGAAGTACGGTTAAGAATCATTATGTAGGACAATAGAAGAATGAATTGGATTTAACAGGTTGTGCTCCAATGGTTGAGAGAGAGAGAGAGAGAGAGAGAGGGGGGGGAAGAAGAAGGGGAAATACCAGGGTTTGCTCCAATGGTTGCTGCGAGCGAGAAATAGAGAGCAAAAACACTGCTCTTGCCACAAACAGATAGAAGAGAAGCTCCAACCCTCTGATTTATAACCAAAAAAAAAAGAAAAAAAAAATCATTTGTTATAAAACCCTAGAAATTGGGTGAAGATATATATATATATAGAGAGAGAGAGAGAGAGAGAGAGGGGCCGAAAATACTTGGCGTGCACTGGAGGAGACACAAATCAAAGTAGCTACTGTTGTCTGTCGCTGGTGGGGAGGTGAGTGCTCGTGTGCAACAGTGGTGGACGGTGGCCGGTAGGAGGGTCGCTTGCGATGGAGAGAGAGAGAGAGAGAAGAGAGATGATGAGAGAGTGAAATGGAAGAGGACTGACAGAGTCTAATTAATGGACACAGTTTGATCAATGCCGACTAAATTTTTTTAGTAGCCAAAACCTTAATTAACAGCGACTAAATATTATTTTAGTTGGTAAAAATAGTAATTTGGCAACTATACATTTTGGTCGCCAATTAATTTTATAAATCCCTCTAAAATTTGAAAATTTTCCTTCAAATATTTTAGTTCTTTGGTGACAAAAATATTTTTTAGTCACTAAAAATAAATTTTTTGGTCGCCAAAGATAAAAAGGAAATTTTTATTTTTTATTTGGCGACAAAAAAGTTTTAGTAGCCAAAACTAGCATACAACGACAAACATTTTTAGTTGCTGAAAATAAATTTTTGGCGACCAAACTACCAAAAGTTTGAAAGTAAATTTTTGTTTTTCATTTGCCTATTAAAAAATTTTAGTAGCCAAAACTATCTATACAGTGACAAACATTTTTTAGTCACCAATTGTGCCATTTTGAGCAACAAATTTTTTTTTAGTTGCCAATAATCAATATTTCCTGACTAAAAAAAGTTAGTAACAAACTATTGTACTTTTGCTAACTAAAAAAAATTTTGGTCGCCAATTCTACAAGTTTTAGCGACTAAATTTTTTTTAGTCGCTAAATTTGGTCGCCAAAAGTGCATTTTGTTGTAGTGTAGGGTTTTATTATCTTTCTCTCCCTTGTAGAAACCCTAGTGTTGAAACTCCCATCCCCACCAACAACAATGACCATCAGTGTTGGATCTGCCATCACCGATCCGCCGCTGTTGCCCGTCGCGCAGCACCTCCTTCTGCTGCAGAACCACCACCTCGGTGCCAGTGATGGCAAATCTTGAAGGACAACCAAACCTTAGAGAGCTGCGGGTAATTCAATCGATTCTCACCATACTCGTTTTTTATATATGTGAATGTAGATATAGGTATTAGCATTGGAATTTGAGTTAATTTTGTTGGAATTAGCTGAATCTACGAGTCTAGGTGTTGCAATTTCTGGATTTATTGTGCTTTGATTTAATTACTTACAAGGGATTGCAATTTGTATAGTTTTGGTAAGGAGGTGATTAAGTATTGTTTGTATGCAATTTCTGGATTTTTTGCTTTTTTGTTTAGTACATGATTGTTTATTTGTTTGTTCTTCATCTGTGTGTGTTTTGTACCCCCTTTTTCTCTATGTTCTGTTGCTATTTGTAATTCCATTCACTTTTATATTTTTATGTTGGTGACTGATGTGCTGCTAATCCGGACAAGAAGGTATGTAAAATTCTTGTCTTTCACTTTTCTGTCTTCTACGGAAGTGTTGAACTGAAAGACTATTTCATTCAATCCCTTTCTCCAGCCACTCAATATTTTAGATTTGGACTCGTTTGAAGAGTTGAAAGTGCTTCCAGCAAGGAAATCATGTTTCAGGTTAAATTTCAGTGGCCAGGTTATAAAGTTTATATGAACAAATATAAATAAAATATTGATGATTTTTTATTGTTTGTAAAGCTGGCACATTTACACTTCTATCTGCACTTCGTGGACTAGTAATTATGATCTGCTTGGAAAAATAATATTGCTCTTGCATATATGTTGCTTTTTATACTGGTTTCGAAAGTGGAATTCCAAAAGAAATCATAGCTTGTACCAACTTTAATATTATCAAGCTTTTATTTTGTTGTGTTCTTTGCCCAGAATGCTTAGTCAGTATCAAAACTCAATTATTTCCTTCATTGATAATCTACTTTATTCCTTCTGCCATTTTCAGCTTGTATGAAAAGATTGTGGAGGGAATCAGAGTTTAGCACTTAAACAATCTCCTTTATTAAGAAAGAGATAATGATAGGACTTCTGCAAAGGTACTTTAGTTGAACTTTATTTTTTGTGTGATTATTGTTGGGTCTTGCTTTTCCAGTTACTTCCACTGTTAATATTGGCTAAAGTTTTGTTTTTCCGTAATCATTTGATGGCCAAGAAGATAAATGAAAGAAAAGAAGTAATTGGAAATTTACAATGGTTTCTCAACAATTATAAAAGAATTCTATTATTCTTCTTTTATTCAGGGGAAATAATCATTTCGAGAGAAGTTGTATATAATGTTTGTAAAATGACTGCAAAAACACCCAAAACATGCATTAGTTTCTTCAATTGTCATATTCTTTTATTAGTTTTTGTTTTTCTTTAAATATAAACGTTTTCATTACTCATTTTAAGGAAGGACTGTAGATTGTATTAGTGGACATGATGACAATTAATTGTCATACAACTCACAGGACACCCTACTTTCTTCTTGGATTACAGAACAGGATGCCATGACAGGCACTAATATTCTTTAGTCCAAAAAAGAAAAAGATTTGGGTTGTGTTTGGTTAACACTTTAGAATTACAAATTACTTTTTTGTATACTATCAAAATGCCATTAAAACTGTCTCTGACTAGATCACTATCTTCTATCTTGTCGCTTCCTTTTTAATAATTGACTACATACTCCTAAGGCCAATCATGATGTATTGGACCAGATCTTTTCTTGTGATTCACCAAGATCAGAGGGTTTATCAAAACCCCAACGAATACATGGGCATGGCAGGGCAGAGAAGAAGGTAATGAAGCACGGAGAGAGAGGGTTTATCAATTCAACTATTTGTTCACAATGGTTCTTGTATTGCAGTCTTGGAGGTAAATTTTGCCTGTTAGTCCTGAAGTCATAGAAGGTGTATTTCTCATTTTGATTTCAATCTGAGAAATGTGTTAACCTTGAAATATTGTTTGTGTAGGTCACAGGTTATTATGCTTAGTAGAATCAACGTTGAGTTGAGAAATGAAAATGTTGATGCCAATCTATTGTTTTCCTGCAGAGAACGAATCCAACCCCACAATGGCAGTTGCAGCAACTGCTGCGGGTGATCAGCAATTGCAACAGACTGCAAATGTATCTGAGAGAGAGAGAGAGAGAGAGAGAGAGAGAGAGAGAGAAAACATCAATAGCAAGTAACGACATTGGCACTGGAAGTGGCAAAGAAAGCCCCCATTTGCATGAAGATAGTGATTTACCAGAAAGGTATATTACTTTTTGGATCAACAGAAGTGCAACCCATAATAACAATCCTCATGTTTTTAATTAGATTTTCCTTAATTATTAGCTTTTTGCAATCCCCTGGCTTTTCTGGGTTCATTCTACTTTGGGGTTTGAAATAATCTCTTTTTAAGTTTGCATTTATTGTTCTGAAAATGTTGTTGTATTTGAATGTAGCTTGGAACACAATGTCCCTGATAGTCCCTTTGCATCTCCTAAAGCTGCTGTGGACTTCTTTGATGATAAGTTGGCCATAATTGGATGATTTAGTTTAGTTTTACAGGGATTTTTTGTGGCTCCTTTTCTTCAATCTCACTACTATTGTTACTCCTAAAGGTATGAAGAACTTCTCCTCATTCGTTGTTATTTAAATCCTTTTATTTCATTTCAGCTTTCAATCTCTTACTCAATTCATTGTTATTTACATGGCTTATTCCAAATATCTGTTTTCCATAACTTATGTTGATTGCATAAAGTTAAGAAGCAAACTTTGGGCGATTGTCAGATCTAAATCAGCACAGCAACAGAGGTTAGGTGCTACTTCTCAGCTCATGGCTTCTACTTCCCCCCCTTACTCTGCTGTAGCCGCAAACAAATGCATGAATCTCCTCCTCCAGCAACAGCAAAGTGATACCCGAAGGTACATATATACATCATGTATTCTTTCACAATTTAACTCATATGTTACTCTCTTGTGAAGTGATCACTTGTACTTGCACTTGGTTTGCTCTACATGTTGAAGGGCCGCCACGGCGTTGATGATGGGTGAGGATATGCACAAATTCGGGCAATCCCGGCTTGATAGGAACGAGTTTCCGATGAACGGTGGGCTGGAAATGGTGAACCCCGGTTCAAGACAGATCTACTTTGACTTTTCCAGCTGATAGCATATTTAGAGAAGAGGATGTTTCCAATTATTCCAGGTATATATGTTTAGATTTGGCTATTTGTACTCAATTGAATGCCCTTTTAGTTTCTAAACGATTTCTTAATTGGTTTTTCAAGTATTTATGGACCAGTTCAAGATGTGAGGATTCCATATCAACAGAAGAGAATGTTTGGGTTTGTTACCTTTGTCTACCCAGAAACTGTTAAGCTCATTCTTGCTAAAGGGAACCTCATTTTGTATGTGATGCTCGGGTGCTTGTGAAGCCATACAAGGAGAGGGCAAGGTCCCTGACAAATACAGGCACTCCCTCTTCTCTTCTGTCTGTGTGTGCGTGTGTGAATTCTGTTTCTGTAGATATAAGCATTCTCTTGTTTTCTTTGTTAATGTCAATGGGAAATTGCAGGAAGCTGCAGCATCAGCAGCAACAAATGGAGAGAGGAGAGTTCTCAACATGTGGGTAGCCCTACTGGCTTAGATTCGAGAGACCCTTATGATCTCCAGCATGGTAAGCAAAAATGTGTATTGTTTTCGCTTCATTCACACATACATTAAAGCTACCAATGTCCTTGGTTTCATCCCTGATTGTTGCAAACCCAATCATATTATGTCACTGATGTTTGGGGTTTGTTTTTCAAATTCAGGAGCAAGGATGTTTGGAGATACTCCCAAGACATTGTGGAGAAGAACTGGAGGAACAAGCTGACTTGCAGCAAGCCATTGAGCTGCAAGGTCAGAGACTAATGGGTCTGTAACTTCTTGATGTGAAAAGGCACAATCACCACCGTATGTATTTAACCTTTTATGGTAGTGAAACTTTTTATTCCTTTGTATATACTTTTAAATATATTTAACTTTCATTTATGAAATATATGACATTATTCTATTCAATATGGGGTTGTGATTCAAAGTATAGTATATAGTGTTTATTATATTCTTGAAATGCGCGTACAAAAATAATATTAATTATTCTTCAAAATATGTTAAACTCTTTTTTTATTACACGTATTAACTGTGATATATAACATGTGATCTTATCTCATTATTAATTGCAGGTTTTATTAAGATATTAATCACACTTAAAAGATGTGATCTAAATGTTCATTATCACAGGTTTTATTAGTTATTAATCACACTTAAATATGTTATCTAAATGTTTATTATCACATGTTTTATTAGTTTTTAATCACATTTAAAAGATGTGATCTAAATGTTATTAATCACACTTAAAAGATGTGATTAAAAATGATTTTTTTTAATCACACTTCCAAAGATCACACTTTGACAGAACTTAAAAAGTGTGATTAAATAACATGATCACACAAAAAAAGTGTGATCTTTATCTGCTTTTGTAGTAGTGTAATTTTCTTCTTGAGGTAGATATGAATCTCTGATAAAATAATTGGGGTAAATTGTATTTAGTGTTTTTAGTTTTGATTTGGTTTGGATATAGTTGTATAACTCCTAGATATTTCTTGTGTAACAAATGTTTTATTCAAATTATATTATATAATGGTTTTCACTGTTATATATTAGAATTGTTAGACGACTAGATGGGCCATGCATCAAACCGTAGTTTAGTGGTGACGTTCTGTAACACCCTCAAAAAAATATGACAAACCTATCTCATAAGCGGAAATAAAGTTAAAATAAAGTACTTTCATTCATCAGAGTTAATATACAAAAGGGTGACACATGCGATATACATTCATAAGTAGCTCACCCTGAATCAACATTATGTGTTACAAATAGTAAAAAGTAATGAAAGCTAAACAAATATTCATATGCCCTAAAGGCTTACATCTTTTTAAGTCGCTGCTTGGTTACAACAAAAATGAGTTTAGCTCAATACAATCAAGTCTTTGGCTATGCAAAGTAAATACAATAAAAAAGAAGCTCTTGCTCCAAATCTCTCCCAACTACTGTCTTGGCAGAGGCATATCTCCAACACCTTAAAATGGTTTTTCCCAAATAGGGTGAGCCAAAGTCCAGTAGAAATAATTTAACACAATATATGAATCTTAACAAAGATATAAGTATGAGATGCATATTCAATGCCCATGATAAAATCATTTATAACTCTTTTGCAAAATCATGTCATGCCAAGCTTTATGTCTCAAATTAGGTTATCTTAATTCGTGAATCATTCACCATTTTATCTCATTTCATGAGTCATTCACCAATTCATTCAGTCAACCAGACTGAGGGTACAATTGAATGGGTTTCTAACCAACACAACCATCATGCAATCACTTCAATTTTCCATTTCACGAATATTTCGTCCGTAGGAATCGGCACCCATGTATATACACGGTTTTCGAAACTTTCACCCAAGACACACAGGCCAACTTAATTCACTGGAGTCCATCTCATTTCTTCTCTCAAACATGGAGTACATCACATTTCTCCTCCCACACATCATACATTTACAATGTATTAAAACATAGGCATATTCAATGACAATGGATAAGAAATTAGTTTCAATTCACCTAGTCCTTATACAATTTCTACAACAACCATAGATATCTTCCATCGATAGCCCAAAACAGATATTTTTAAACAGATATACAATCTTCAAGACAGATAAATTATCTAAATTTTCATAGGTGAGAGATAATACATACCCAACTCCACCATTCGTATAAACATCCATCCAATTTCATATTCCCAATGTTAATTTTATGTTTTTATACAAAATAAATATATGAGACAATTAGGGCAAAATTCCGTTTTCTATCGAAATCTACCTCGGGTATCAAAATCAACGAATTTACCACAACACAATCTCACATCTACTCCCATAACCAATTTCAATACATACATTTGAAAACACCTTTTTGATTTTAAGCCAAAACCCTAGGTTTGTTCAAAATGATCCCAAGTTCCAATATTTCTTACACATTAACAAATAACTAAGTTAAAACTCATAGAAGAGTGTAGAAAGTCCCTATCTCAAGTTTAGAAGACCAAAGGAAGAGATGGAGAGACTTCAAAAATGCTGAAACCAAGCTCTATTCGTATCAAAACGTAGCCCTTAAGATGCTCTACCTTTTTAACAAAGGCACACTGTAGCTTGACTCTTCATGCTCATTTCGGATACGACTGGCCCTACAGTTCGGACTCCGTGGTTTTGAATCTGATTTCACAAGTGCAATGTGAAACAGTAAAAACACAAAAAGAGTCCAAATTCGATAATTCTTTTGAAAAATCGATTTGAATCAAATGCCAAAAATGGACTGTTTTACCAGATTATAGAGTCGCCACCTAAATATTTTGAGAAATTTAGGAAACCCGAGACTCACGCCAAAGACCACTTATCTGTCATCACCAAAGTGTCTCGGCTTGGAAACTTAGGTACGAGAGGGAAAGGTCATGAATTGAGCATTCCACTCTCTCAATCAAAGATCGGCCTCTACTAATCATGATGCGATTCTTATTTACATTATATGCTCTTGTTCTGATTTATTAGGCTATCTTACTATGTGACGCACACAAGTATAAACTAATTTGTAAAAATTGGAACATTTGACTCCGTGTTTGTTTGAAAATTATTTTGAATATGTACCACTTGAAAAAGCGATCTCATATGTATATTCATCAAATACCCCAATTTAAGCAATTAGTCTTCATTCACAAGCATTCAAAATAGGTATATTGTAACGTCTCAAATTTCTAGCCCAAATGATAATACAACAATCATGGCTCTTTCAAGGAAAATCGAATATAAATCTCCAAACTTACATTACATGATACAATAGTTCTTCATGCAACAATACATTAATCCAATAACAAAAAAATAAACAAATAAATACCTCCAAGGGTTTATAAGTTTTCAAGGCTTGAACCTGGTTACACAAAACGGTTATTCAAACCCACACACACACAGCCCTTGGCTTACACACAAAGTCATAGCAAAATGAGAGTCTCGTACTCTCAACACACATTTCCTCGCCTTTAGTTAGGCGGCATCACATCTTTTCCTGCACAAAAATCTTGTAAGGTGAGCATAAAGCCCAGTAGGAAATCCTTATCAAAGTATATAAATTTTATACAAGTCTCAAGAGAGGAAATGCACATGCCATGCTATGCCATTTTGAAAGAAAATCGCATCTTCATCTTTGAAAACCATCATGCTCAATGATGTCATGCAATTTCAATTCTTCAAAACTTAACAATTCATTTCAAGAGCGATAAATACAACTCTAGTAATCCCTAGGTCGGTGTCTGCAAGTAGACTATACAAGTGCTACCAATTTGTCATTTTTATCGGTATTAATTGGAAGTCTCAACACTTATCTGTGCGAGTTTTTGGTCTTTCACTCCGGACTCTCAGGCCAACTTATTCAATATCATCTACACCACCTATCAAGACTTACTAACGTATTTACCCCAAAATCATTCCATGAAAACTTGTTTCTCAACATTCTTTTCTCAATATAAGTTTTCAAATCAACTTTCAAAGTTTAATGTAATCAAATGAATTGATATGCCAATAACACAAGATGAATATAAATACTGTTATTCCAATTCATCGTCCAAGGAATAACATAATTCCCTCTTCTCAAGTATCCTCAACAATTAGTCATTTCAAGACTATTTCAACGTTTTGAACAATAATTTTCTAAAATTAACAATAATTCTCATATTTCCTGAAATTCATCATTTATATAAATATAAATAAATTTTTTTTCAAAGATTCATTTATTTTGACACACAAAATAAATATAACAATATCATTCATGGATTTTTAATCTCTTAAAAAAAATTCCCAAATTCTAGGTTTTCTCACCAAAACTATATAACTCAAATCTTTTGAAAGAAAACTTTCCAAAATCATCTTTTCTTCAGTCAACGAAAATCAAAACCCATAAGATTATTTTAAAAAAACAAGAAACAAACTTACTTTCAAAATCGCTCAACTTCTTAAATCAACAATCAATTTTCAAAGCTATCGAAAGATGATTTCGAAAATCATATAGATCTTGCAAAAGCATATATATAACTCTAAGAAAATCTCTACCTCAAGTTTTGAAGAAGAAATGAGATGAAACCCCCAAAATCAACGATGTCAAAACTCGATTTTCACTGCATACAACGAAGCCCTCGAGATGATAACCAACTTTGGTGAAGAACTTAGGTCTAAATCCCATTGGATTTGGAGAAATCAAAGAGAGAAGATGACTTTTAGAGTGAGAAGCTCCCGATCTGGAATTCTAGAGAGTTTTAGAGAGAGAGAGAGAGGACTAAAAAAGTGATCTAAAATATCAGATTCACGAACTGATATAACATGGTCCGCTCGAGCGTGGAAAGCCCTGTTCGAGCGTCAAATACACTAACCCAGTATTTTTGTAGACAAGTCAAACTTCTGAAACCAAACATTCTTCGCTCGAGCACATAAACGGCCTGCTTGAGCGGACAAGCAACTTCGAATGCATTTTGCATTTTTGCTTCGGGGGCGCTGCCCCTCGACCCCGCCAGGGCGTTGCCCTTGGACCCGCCAAGGGGCGTTGCTTCCTCGACCCCGCAAGCTGACTGGGCAGCTTGATCCCCGACCGGCCCAGTCGAAATGGCAAAACATGAAAGAAGAATCGAAATTGGGATCGCTACAACCTTTCTCCCTTAAAGAGTTTCGTCCTCGAAATTTCAAATCAAACTACTCAAACAAAGGGGTTTCTAGCGATCAAGCCACGCTATTTCATTTTCAAATCACAATACTAACTCTCAACCAAATTCCACAATTTCCACCATGGTTATCTCATTAACAACAACCTCCCAAATATGCATAAACACGAAATTTCTTAAAAAGTAATGACAACTCTCAACAACCTTATGCTTAAAACAACGCACATATCAACATGTGGTTAACAACTTTAAATATGTTTCCATCAACACT